CCTGATAGGAGAGGTACAAAGCAGCTGAACAGAAAAAAAGGAATCCCAGGCAGTAGAAAGGGTCACCCCAATGGTGTGTGAGGCCCTGCAGACATGATCCTCTTGTGGATCATGGAGAAACACCTTGAGGTATTTACAATAAGATGATCAGTATAGGCTCTTTGAGGGATGTGGGGGGAAAAACATTTTTGAGACTGTCTACAACTTGTTTTGAGATGTTTTCTAGGGGCTGTGGGAAAATACAAGACTTAGTTTAGGATGTTGGGGATGGATTAAAAGTGGGGAAAGGAAGGAATTGAGGTAGATTGGAAAGGAGTAAGCGTGGGAAAAAAGGAGTATTAAAAGGGCAGGTCAGCGTGCTTGCCTGAGCCCTGCCTGTACTTGATCACTCCAATCTGTTCTGTATTCTCATTAAAACCTATTTTTATCTGGTTTAAACCAGAGTGTTCTTTCTGGTCTGAGTGGGTGTGTGTAAGCACAGCCAACGTGATGTTGGACTGGTTGGTGAGCAGCAGAAGAGGGCTGAGTGGTGCAGCTGCACCAGGGCTGTGAGCTGGGGGCTTGCATGTCCAGGTACCAGCAAGGCTCTCTGAGAGAGACAGTCAGGTAAGGACAGAGAGAAGATGTAATTTGCCCCAAGTCGTCAAACTCCTGTCCAGATGTCACATGTGCAAGGACAAGTGGCTACAGCCCTATGAAGTGAAGCAAGTGGCTGCAATGTTAAGCAGCTGAGAACCTGGGTCAGCCACTTCTTTTTTCCCCCTTCCTCTAAATCTGTTTATGAGAATTGTTTTTGCATATTTATGTTTGGAATAATTATTTGGAAGAAGTCACAGCTGCATCTGCTCCTGCTGAAGTGACAGTTTGTGCTGCTGTCTCCTAGAGACCTTAAATTCCCATTCTGAAAGAAAGACCTTGTTTTTTAAAACTAAGGCTTGATTTCCATGCTGATTCGAAATGGGTGTAATTTCAAAGATCAATGGGACTTACTACTGGTTTAAGGAACAATGTAAGAAAACAGATGAACTGAACCAGTGACTGTTGCAGTGATAGCCTCTTTGGGAAGACTCAGAAGTGGCTGCTATGAAAAAATCAGCTCTGCATGGGAATGCCTCAACCTGTTTGAAAAGAACAGAAATGCCACATTTGTGTGAGATACTGTTGTGGATCACTGCTTCCCATACATCTGCCAGAGCTGGAATCATCAGAAAGATGCATTTCAGAGGTGCACAACAATTGGGAGCCACAACTGTGTTCCTCAACCATCTTTATGAGCACATGAGAAAAATCTGAAGAGGTTGTCTGAAAGACACTGCATAACTTGTTGGTTTTTTCCCCCCAGCATATAAACCACTGCATGCAATTCATAAGGACAAGAAAACACATGCACGTGTTTTATTTGAGAATTAGGTAATTATGCAATTAGAAACTATATCCACTGTATGCAAGGTGGGTGGCAAGAACTGAGGATGCATGCACACAACGTTTTCAGATCCTGATTTTTAATGCTATATGACTCTTAAATCAACATGTGATTTGTAATTGACTGGACAGAAATAATAACAAATTTACATTTTAGAAACAAAACAAGTCCCCAAGCTCAATTAACCCTGGATTTCTGGAACCTTCTGGAGCATTTTAAATCCTCTTTTATGAGGAAAACCCCCTTTCCTATTGGACATAAGTGTGTCAATGTTTCATCTCAATGTTTCTAGAAGAAAGATATTTCTACAATGCCATTTTGGTGCTATCAATATGATGCCATCAAAGCCCTAAATAAAATACATTTCTATTGCTGTTGATTATTTGGGAAATCAGTTCATCCCAAGAAAGCCAATATGCACAGGGCATCCACCAATATCCATTCTGCAACAACAGAAGCAAAAAAAAATAACTCCACAACTAGGTGTTTACATTGGAAGAGCATGGACAGAGATTTTACCCAGGTATTACTGTATCATATTCTAACAAAATTTTCCATCTCAGACAGAATGGTAGCTCAATATATTTGCCCTGAAGACACATACAAAGCAATCAGTAAGTTTTCTTGAAATGTTTTTATTGCTTTTATTTGTTCCTTGGTAACAGCAAACTCAACAATTGGCTTTTGATTCTTTTCCCTTTCCTTTTTGTTATTAACATATAATATTCCTTAAAATTCCTTTTAAACACCCAGTTTATTATATGCCTACCACAAAAGCCTTCTTTTTATTGACTATACTGTGAATTACACACCTATTTAACATTTCAGAAGGAGGGAGACCTCACTCTTCAGCAGGAATGTTCAACATCAGTATAAATAAAGGACGTTTACGCCAGCACAAATCAAAGGCAAGCACACTAAAATCTAGGCTGGTAGACTTTTCACATCTAGGAAAACCTCCCTAACATTTCTTTTTTACAAAACAGGATTTCCTCATGTGTCTGGAGCCAGTATGCTGTGACGTGGGCTGGCACTGCAGAACAGCAACAGCATACATTAAATCTGTGTTGGGAGCTGGTTACCAGAAACACTGCATAGTAATTATGGTGAAGATTCTCTGTGAAATAGATTCTGGTTTTTCAAATGAGATTCTGAAAAAAACACCTCCTAACATTTCAGCAGAAATACTTTACAACTTGTCCAAACTGTAGATGTCTCATCTTTTCCCATAAAAGTTTACAGAGCTTGTAATTTACTGAGTTACTGCTTGTTCTAACGACTATTTGAGGGAATGGCTTGGCATGGAGTAAGAGATGACTATGTGTATTAATTCAGTTCAAAGGTTCATACAATTTATACAAGGTAATGAAAAGCTTAACTTGAACTCTCAACAGCTCCACTTTCCTCCACCTCAAGTTCATAACACTGATATCATCAAGTCTTTAAGAAGCTGCTGCAGAGAGAGGGGGGGGATAAAAGAAGAGTCACCAGCTCACACCAAGGCGTCATTAATTGGAACCGTGTGTCCCACAGACACATGAGTAATGCAGGATGGCAAAGGGGCTGCTGCACACCCCTTATGAGAGCTCTCCTCTCGAGCAACACTGCAGAGCCTCTTCTCAAACACGGCCTTGGACAGGGCAGGAGACTGTGATGGAGCCAGGCAGGGCAGAGAGCAAACAGCAGGGAGCCAACTGGATCTGACCATCTGTGAATCTGATGACAGGTCCTCAGTTTGGAGGAGGAGGGGCCGAGGAGCCAAAGAGCAAAAATCAAAACAGAGCACAGAACTACAACAACAAATATTTTATACAAGCCGCCCTCATTCTTTCTCCAGACTTTGAATGAGCAAGGACTGCATGATGTGCTCATCAAGTAATTTTTTCTTAGCTGTGAAGATTTAGCTAGTCATGCCATGCTCACCCTGTCATCACTTTAATTGCCTAAAAAAAAATCCCAGACACTTCTAATACTGCTTTTCCAATAAAGAAATCTACATTTGCTCAGAAAGTAGAATCTTAACGAGGCCTTGCTTGCTGAGTTAAAAAAGCATGAGGTAAGAGAAGTCTGTATTAGGGGAAGAAAAATAAATAGCCCTTATTTAAACCCTCCTCTCACCTCAAAACAGAAGGCTCAGAAACTGAAAAAAACCAAACACAATACAAAATCAGTCTCTTTCTCCTGAAGGTAGAAGATTGTTCAGCTGGCAAAATAAATTGTCTATTAAACAAAAAAAAAACAACAAAAAAACAAAAAAACAAACAAACAAACAAAAAAAAAAGGTGGTATCTAAATACATTCCACGTAAGCACTCATTTGAAGCATTGGAAACTCTCCAGGGCTTCTCAGCACATGAAGCCCGTGTCTCCAGCTCACACACAAATGCAATAAAATAAGACCAAGTTTTTAACTATTCATTTCTAGAGCTTGTTAGGTCACTGCTCCATTAAATATGAAATAATCCAGATACCATCTCGCAGGGTAGCCTTTTTCCAAATTACAGGATTTTTTTTCAGATTACAGCAAACCCCACAGTATTTATACTTCCAAAACAAATTACCAGCCTCTCATATATAAAATTGTTTTCATATATAGCTGCTTTCAGTAACTGCTTAAGAAGGATCCTAAACATTTGAGACAAAGGGTGAAAGCACAGGTCTAATTTAAAATAATTAGTAAAGAATAATTTAGGTTGGAAAAGACTCCTAAATCATTAAGTCTAACCTTTGACTGATGACCATGTTGTAGACCAAAGCAGCAAGTGCCATATCCAGCTGTTTCTTGAACACCTTCAGGGATGCTGACTCCACCACCTCCCTGGGCAGCCCATTGCAAGGTTTAACAACCCTTTCTGCTGCTAACCCACAGAAGAGGTAGAGAATTCCAAACATGAATGTAGACTTTTGAAAATGTCAGATTCATTTCCTTCCTTACAGAAGAGCTGTTCTGGTTGGCAAATTAATGGACAAAATAAGCCTTATTTTGATTTTCACATTGTATGTGCTTAAGAAAAGATGGATTTCTGATGACAATCCTTACAAATTGAAACTCAAATTAGATTTTCTCTCCTCATATACTACCATTTTACAACTAACTCTGAAAACCTTGAGGTTTTACTACTCCTGCTACCCCTGGCTCTTCCTGCTATAGTACAGAAACTATGCTGCATATATATAAACCTGTATTTATGTACAGACACAGAATCACAGAAATAAAAGCACTGGGCAAATGTAAAAGCTGCCATTTGAGTTTATACTCCCCATTAAGAACTCCAGTCAAGCAATGTTCTGCACACAAATGTAAAGAGGATTCTTCCATGGCCTTCAGGTCAGGCTCAGAAAGAGTATCTTAAGCATGGCAGGAGAAAAGGGAAAACTGCCAACTCCATTGCAAGATTAAATCTAGAGTTCCTCAAAAACCCACCTATTTTAATTATTTTTATACTAACAAGAAAAAATATAGGTATCAAAATTTTAGGATAGCAAATTTATTTTTATTTATACCAGGACTTTCCTTTACTAGCTTAGTTATAGTACAGATGATCCTCCCTAAGACAGTATTTACGGACAAGGAAAAATAATTAAACATCAGGATATTTATTTTGCATACAAATATTTACAGAAAAATACTTACAAAAATTAAGTATTCAAATTTTAATTGACTTCACTTCAAAAAAGCTTAATGCTTTCATCTTATAAAAACATGTTGCCTTTACTGTGCTCAAATTTGCTATTCAGATCTCTGGATTTTCTTATGAGAGCTTTCTTCTGTGCTTCATCAAAGCGATTGACTTTGAGATCCTGCTCTCGGTCAAATGGCCTTCTTTCCTGAGGTTTGCTCTTTTCTTCAGATGCTTTGCTCTTCAGCTTCTTCTGGTGGATGTCCATGAGAGACTCTGACCTCTTTGACTCCTGGAAAAAATGAGGAGGAAGAGGAAGTAAAGTATTAAAGAATAACAACAACATACAGAAAATCCAAATGGAAATATTAAAGTCAGGAAGGCTAAAAATTCCAGAAGAAGATAGCTTAGTAACTGGATATAAAATGATAAATTTAGCATACATGGAGTAGAAAGTGTGAGCAATCTTGTCTAGAATAAAATACTAATAATTCACTGATGTAGATGGCCATAACATTGTAGATAGCCATGATATTGTTGAATCTCAGCAGACAATGCAGATAAATGATGAACTTAATGCAAAAGAAATATAAAAGTTGTTCTGACATTACTGGCAGAATGAAGACACCATGTCAAAAGAAATATCTCAAAGTACAGGCCAAGTTTCCTATACACATTCCCTAAGCACCTGGATTTGGTCACTGCTAGGGGCAGGAACAAGCTAGACATCCTTTTAATCTTTCATGCACAAAAGTGGGTTTTTAAATGTGTGCTCCCAATTTTCAATCATCTGCTGAAAGCCCACAGGACAAAGTCACAGGCTTGAGCTGGAGCATGTGTTTTGCCAACTCAAGGGCTTTAGCTGCACTTCTTAGAGAGCATGATCCAGCTCAAACACAACATAAAACTTCTGCTGATTTCACAAAGGAGCAGGATTAGCTCTCACAAGACCATGAGGCCCCTCATTTACTCAGATACAGTGCATTTGTGTATCTAAACCAACTCTCTCATCAAAAAGTGCAAAAGTTGAGCAGCTCTGTTTTCTCATGATTTTCCTTCACTTCCTGAGCAAACACTCACTACATCACATGCAAATAACAGCTTATGCATGTGTTAAGAAAAGATTCTCATGGAAAATATACAATACTTATTCATGATGTAACTGTGTTAGTGTTGACAAAATTGCACCAGAGAATGTATGTTACATCAGCATGGAAAGAAGAAACTACTTTAAGAATGAAATATGTTCTAGTGAAGTATCCTTGGTAAATGTCAGTGGAGAAAGAAATAGGAAAGAATAGAGGAAAAAACATTAAAAGAAAAATACCCAAAACAACCACCTGAAAATCAGAAAAGAACTGATTTAACAAAAAAGAAAAAACAAACAAAACAACAACCCAAGAAACATTGTTCTTGAACTTTGAGACAACTCCATGAATATTAGAAACAGCAAAGGCCTGTGTATGCTTTATTCCACCAATGGCACCGAGCAAAACCCATAGTTTTACATGAGAATTATTCTATTATATTCATAGTGACAGTAGAAACAGATGCTAAAGAAGAACCTTAAGACAGAATGCTAATAGCTCTGGATTTGCAAGTCTCTAAGTCAAGAGAAATATATGATTTAACGAACTAGAAATAAATTATCAGAAGTGCCAGATAAACCTGTAAAATAGGTCAAAGATGTGATTCTCAAGTTAATTGTCCTCTCAAAAGACAAAACTGCCTTCTATAGGAGTTCAGGCCATACATCAGGGAAGAACTGGAAGTAAGAGCTGTAAGGCAGGCAGTGGTCTACACACTCTAAGGGACAGGGCTGACATACAGAAAAGTGAGAGGGAATTTGACATGGAGTTCAGATTTCTAGTAATCAACATCTCTCTGTTAACATTATCTGCTCCTGTAGAGATTGAAAAAAACTACATGTAATGAAGTTATTGTAATGAGTACTGAATGTAATTAATGACAGAGGGTAATTAATGCAGTGACCTGCTTAGCCCATCAAGCCTCTTTTAGGTTAGTGCATTACGTTGGCCTAAAAGTTAAACCAGCACTATTGTTTTATTCTTGGGATGTCAGTAATTGGGTGAAGCAAGCTAATATTTGAATTAAGGTCCCAGCAACCATGTCCTGACATGAGGATGATTGAAGGAAAACACCATCTAAAACTGAGGCAATATACACAAACCCAAATTCTGTCACTTTGGAGAGGACCCAATCCTGCTCTTGTTGACATTAATGCCAAGTGTTCTAATGTCTTAAAACAGCAGTAGGTTTGGGCACTAAAAGGGAAAACTGTAGTGGCATCACCATGGAAACCAGCAGCACTAGAAATGAGAACCAGAAGGAGAGTGAAGAACTAAAGGATATAGAAGAAGTATTTTGTGATTACACTTACGTTGTACGAAGTCACCTGCTCAATAAGCCTCTTGTCCCTCCCAGATAATACCATTTCTTCATTATCCTTACTGCTTGACTTTTTTGCCTCTTCTCTTTCCTGATGAGTAGAAGAAAACCACATGTTACAGTAATCAGAATGTCTGAAGTAAAAAGCAAGCAAATCTATATCTACTTTAATTAAATCTGGAGGGTAAAGTCCATGATAGAGGCCACCAAATATTTTCTGCTCAGCTTGATAGAAGAAATTGGACATGCTAATTGGAAAGTCAATGAGCTGATACAGAGTATCTGACTCCTGCAAAAGGGGGCAGAAATAAATGCATATCAATGATATTTAATGTTGTTACTTCATTGCCTTTATCTTTAAGCCTGAATTAGTAAATTTCGATAACAAAGAAAAATCTGGGAAAGAAAATTTCAGTGAACAACCCCCAGTATCTTTACTTTGTTTTCACAGAACATCAGTAACACCTACTGCCTGCAGGTGTATATGAATGAATAAATAAATGCTCACCTTGGCTTTTCTCTCTCTGTCAGCTGGAGTATCTGTCCAAATAGATCTATCACCTGATTTGTCATCAGCTCGTCTCTTGAATGTTCTTGGGCCAAATCCAAAGCTTTTCAACTCAGGTGGAAGCTCTGTCATCCACGATTCCCTGGTAACTTGTTTGGGTTCATCCTTTGCAAAAGTAGCAGGGGTGGAGAGAAGAGTGAAAAAAGTATAATCAAAAATTACTGCCTGAATCTCTTGGGTTCCAGCAGAAATCATAGACTTTTTTTCTTTGTGTTAATACATGCATTAATGTAGCATGCCAAGCAGAACTGCAGCCAGGTTTACACAGAAACAGGCAAAGAGAAAGACAAATACATTCCAGCAACAAAATACAAGAAATTAAGAAATCCAACTTACTCTGTCTGCTGAAGTAAGCTTTTCCTTCATTCTCTGAGCTCTGCGTTCAAACTCTTCAGCCACATCAGACTCCACTGGTCCTTTTGCAGGCATTGGGCCTATAAAATTGTCTTCATCCTCGCTACTATCTGTCAGCTTCCAAAAAGAAAACATTTATTTCAAACAGTGTTAAAAGCATCAAGAATCACTTGAGCTTTATAGAATTGGAAAGACTTTGTCTAGAAGAGCATATAAACCTAACACAACACATTTCCCAGACAAAAACCTGGATTAGAACTCCAGATTAGACCTGTTCTAGCACTTGAACACGGATACTTCATCTCCATTTTGCCAAAAGCAGCATCTCTTGTCTGAGGCAAGACTGCTGGTAAAGGCAGTGGCAGCACACAAAGCCCTGCTACTTCTTATTGTTCTGCATGCAGCCATGCAGCCTCTGTGGCCCTGGGTAAATCTGGAACACACAAGCATACAACTTCCATATTTTGAGCTTTACCATCACTAGCAACATTTGGATGCATTTCCCTAATAAGGATCACAATTTCACACTGCAAAAACTGTCTTGACCTCAGATCTGTAAGGATGCCAGACAGATTGAAGTGCAAGGTAGGGTACCAGTGGCACACATAGTACTATGCCCATGTGTGTACAGCATCTCCAACTAATTCCTTGGCTCTGTCATTCACTTTGATTCCTCATGGATCCCTTCAGGAAGAACTTCTTCACTGCAAGGATTATCAAGCATTGAAACAGGCTGCCAAGGAGGTGGTGGAGTCACCATTCCTGGAAGTGTTCAGAAAATGACTGGATGTGGCCCTTAGTGCCATGGTCTAGTTGACAAGGTGGAGATGGGTCAAAGATTGGACTCAACGATCCAGGAAGTCTTTTCCAACTTAATGATTCCATGATTCTGACATAACATTCTAAGCAATCTTTTGGAGGAGGGCTAAAAAATAAGTTTGTTAGGGACTAGATGTCAATAAAAATCTTCCTAGTTGCCAGGGGTTGTACAGAAAGCTCACTGGTGCCTTCCTCCAAATTCAAACACTACAGATGTGGATGTAAGAAAACCTAGGCAGAAAATGGTGATGCCACACCACTGTGGGAGCAAAGCTAAGGTTCCCAATATCCACAAAAGTGCCATGATTTTGCTACAGTCTGACTGTGCGTGATAAGGCAATGGGAGTAGGATGACAAGGCTGTGTAGCCAGGAAGCACAAAGCATTACTTGAGAATACACAAGGTGGTGAGTCATTACATTCACTAAAGCAAAGTGAAGAGTCAGCATGCTTCTAAAGACGTACTTGAATACAAAATAATTAAATATTTTTTTTAAAAGACAACAAGAAATTACTCATATTCAAAAATAAGAAAAATAGTATTATTAGGAGGAGGTAATAAAAAGATAATTATTAGGAAAAGAAAAAAGGTAAGTTCTTTAATACCAGTAAAAAAGCTGATGCTAGAAGATGTATTTATGAGAAAATAGACTTCTTTGTTTGCAAAATACAAAAACAGACTGGTTTTGACATCTTTGCCTCAAGAGATTTGTAACTATGATAAATTGCTTAATCATTATTTGGAGTTATAAGACGATGAGTACCTCCGAAATGTCAGATAATCATTCTGCACGATGAATTACAACACTACTCAATGCAGGAGGCTGGAGAATTACATGCTTTGCAACTACTAACCAAAAAAAGTGAAGTTTCAGAGCAGCCTTTGCATCATTCCTTCCTAGCGTGTCTAGCATCTTCCATAGTGTCTGGGAGTTAAATGTAAAAATGTAAGTATTTTAAAAATCAATAGAATAACTGTTCACTCGCCCAAGAAATTAACATATTCAGTTTATCATAGCATGAGAGAGATTCACTTCCCTAAGCATTGGTATCCAGCACTATTTTTGGTGTCTTAGGTCTCCTGCCTGGTTAAGATGTGCTACTCAAGAAGGGCACAACCCTCTCTAAAAGTGTTACTCTCTTACTCTCTGCCTGCCAGGCCCTCCCATAGGCAATCTGGATCCCTCAGAATGGTACTGGAAGCCCACATTTAGGGAGCTCAATCTTGCCCACAGCTGTATTTTATCACACGTCTTGTTCCCGAATGTTCTTTAGTAGCACATGCATTATTTTGCAAGCAGGGATGGCAGACTACAGTACTTCTACCTAGTTTTTACCTAACATAACCAGAAAAGCCAAAAAGCATGAACCAAAAAGGTGTGTCAGTGTCCTGCACCACCTCACTCCCACTTACAGGTATCATCCTGCAATTGCAAAGAACAGTTTAGTGACACTGCAATACCATTCTTGATTGTATTCTTTTGGATAAACTTATTTAAAGGTTGTAGTCACTAGTAAACATCTTTAAGGAGGGGAAGATGTGTTTTCTGCCTGCAGTTTGGCATGCCAAGATTGCTTGTGTTCAGTGAGTGCACCATCTATTTAACAGCAAAAACACAGCAAACCAGACCAGTCTTTTCGGTTTCTCTTTTTTTAAAGGCTTATTTATGCTCCAGTATTTGACTCCAGCAAAAATATGCCAGATGCTTTCTGGTCCAAAATTAAACTGTCATCCTGAGAAGTAGGTCTGGTAGTCTCTTTCAGGCTGCAACTTTTTAAATCATTTCAGATAGCTTGTACTAAAACAAAAGGCTTGTCTTTTCACAAACCTGGGGACGGGATTCTGATGAAACAGACGGTCCTGTGAAACATCTGCTACTCCTGGTGTCCTCTGAAGGTTTCTTAAAGCCAGGTGGTAATGCAGGACCTATAATGGGCCTTGACAGTGGGAAAAAAAAAAGGGGGAAAAAAACCCTTGATTTTTCAGTTGAGGGGAAAAATATAACAGATCAATATAAAAATACAAATCAAACATTGATGAGAAGACGACTTTCCTTCCTCCCTGTGCCAACTGTGACCCTGTGCACAAATACTGTAGAAATAACTGAGTAAGAGTGTCTCCATTTTCCAGGAAGACCTGTGCAAACAGTTTTGATGTAAAAAAACCCAGGAAAGTTGCAGCATATAGTCAAGGAAATCCACTATTTTCTTTCCTAGGTTCCTTCACCAGATTTAGGAGCAATGAAAGGTGACAAGACAAATACACTCTCCTCCTTTGCAATTAACAAACCAAATTTTGTTCTTCTTGTCTCACACCTCCTTTCATTGTCCTTTAATAAGCAGAAACAGTGAACTGCTCTGATTTTATTTCACCTTGGAGTGGGAAAGAGAGAAGCAAAGTTTTGTGAGTCCGGGTAACTTCACTGATTTATTTTTAAATAGCAGCTCTGCAAGCAATGTTGACTCAGTTGTCTCCACAAACACAGAAAGGTGAGAATCGTTTCTCAGTGGTGAAAAGAATACTACAAACTGTGCTCAAAGAAACTGTCCTTGCTGTATTGAAAGTCTTTTGAATGCGGGTTCCTCTTAATAATCCAGCATAATATTCTTTAAAGCTAATAAAAATTAATTAAAAACCCAAACAGCTGTCATCTGAAGACATAACCAAGTGACAGTATCCTCCCAACGTAACAGCAGACTTTGTTTATTAAGATCTTCAGTTCTGAGCTTTAGGTTATCAAAAGTAACAACACCTGAATTGAATTTGCTTATTATGGCCTTTACTCAATCCCACGTCATCTAATCAGTACAGCTCTGCTGTACTGATATTATTGTCAGGGTTTAAAGAGGGGAAATAAAAGACACAAATTCTCACTGAAGAACCTACCAGAGATATACAGACATGAGCAACAAATATGAACTCAGACCAGTACAAGGGCACTGGTGTGATTTTAAACCCAGGCAAGAAATCTGGGATAATTCTGAAGTTCCACCCCCACCTAGCTGCTGCAGTTTTATCTTCCTTCCTGACTACTTTCTTCTTAAGACCTTGTTTTAAATTCCTAACGTAATTTAAAGAGATTGAGTTTAGACTTACACAGATATAGCAAAAAAAATCTTTTCTTTTAGTATACAAGTACCTTTATTCTGAATGGAGAGACAGATAAACCAAACTATAAAAAAAGGTCTCTACTGAAATATATACGAACATGTCTGTTGTGGGCTGTATCTGTGCAGCCTGTGAAAAAGAACGAATTTGAAATGCTCTGCCTCGATTCTGTCACAGCTCAAAGGCTCTTTAGGGAACATAAAAGTCGTTCTCATATTCATTCTTCCCATGCTTTCCACTTCTTATGCTTTTTCTTTTCCCCCACATGAACATCTCTTTGGTCTTTCCTCAGCAGTACACAGGTAACATGATCCTTGACAGTTTCCTGGATGTCCAAAGAGTCTCTGAACAGGTGAATTAAACCTAAATACTAATAATATTAATACTAATAAAATACTAATAATATTAATACTAATAAAACGTAAATACTAGTAATATTTTAACTCTTATAATATATTCACTCTAATAATATATTAACTACTAATAAGTAACTGGTAAACACATTTTACTGCTGTAGGCAGTTTCAGTACTTATACATGTCAAAAATATCCCCCAAACTTATGGACTAAGCGTTAATTTAAGGAAAATTGGATTTCATATATGGCAAAGACTGTTCTCCAGTTGTTGGGCTTGGAAGTCCTTGCTAATGCATATTTTGAGGTGAGTATTTCAGCATTCTTCTGATGTGTAACGTAAATTTTTTTAAGATCACCTTTGCTCTTTACATCGTTGCTTGATGTGTGAACACTTCAGAAGTATTTATGAGTGCTGCACTTCTGTCTAATATTGATAAACAGTAATATAATATAACTGAAGTAAATCTTTTCACATACATATTTTACACTGGAATCATTCAAACCATTTTCAACAAGCTGCAGACTGCCACATGAGCTGCCCCTAATCGTGACCATGTTGCTCTGACATGTCTGGAAAAGATTTAAGAGAATAAAAGCTTTTCTAAAAGAACGACTATGTCACACAGAACTGATAAACAGCCTGTCCATACACTGAAACAAACGACCTGCATTTGTTTCAATTATTCATGGCTCACTTGGCAGCTGGCAATCTGCTCAAGGCTAAGGGCAATGCAGCAGGCAGACAGCAGCATTGTGTCTGAGCCCTGCACAGCTTACCCGCCTCCCAGACTCCCAGGTGTGTGTGGGTGGAAGACAGACAAGGCTCTTCCCACACATCACACCGTTCCCACCTATTCAGGCAATCAGGCTGGGTGCAAAACAGCTCTCCTCAATCTGCTTTCTCAGAGCGTGCTAGGAGAAATTGTATGGTGAGGTAGGAAAAAACAATACACAGAGTGCCAAGTGCCTTCTACTGCTTTAATCTATCATCACAGACACAGAGCAGACTCTTGCCTCAATGCCACAGAATCACACAATATTCGGAGTTGGAAGGGAACCACAAGGATCATCAAGTCCAACTCTTGAATGAATGGCCCCTTCCTCTTCCATTTTACCATGAGTATTCATGTCAAAAATCAAGAAAGCAAGGCTACCTCTGCTGATATTAGAAGCTACAAGCATTTATTTTTTTTTAATAGACAATACATTATTTTTAATGACCTGCTAAATTTTATAGTTAAAATAATACTTTGTGCATACAGAACACAAGAAAAAGGAAAACAAAATAAGTTACTTGTGGGACCATCAAAGCACCAAACAATTCCACAACTACAGGAGTTTTTTGATTACAGCACAGTGTAACCAAATGTACACAAGAAAGATACTTCCAAATAACCTTAGTTATATACATTTTTACTTAGTTACATAAACTTTATGCTGCCAAGCATCATAAAAATTCATGCAAACTGAAAAAAAAAAGATTAACTTTGAAATTTCTTTTGGGATGATGTATTACACACACAATTCAACAGTAAACTGAGTCATTTTCCTGGAACTGAAAACACATACCTGACAGAGAAGTATTATTTAATCTACCAGCTCCCTATTGCTCTGAGGAAGATAAAAGTGATCAAGGCACTCTTGTACTTCTCATCAGGAAGTATCCCCTTGGAAGCACCAATTCCACTCTAGACTATAATTTCAAACTATAGAAGGAAGAACACAGATTGATGTAAGGACTAAAAGGCTGTGAGACACGGTTGAGTCCTGTATAGACAATCCATAATAATATTTTTTTGGGGGGAAGTATTTTACAACTGTAAACAATCAAATGGAAAGCTTCCTGATAGAAACCATAAATAAAGCTTATTTGTGTAGACCTGACAGCCTCTTTTCTAAAAACCTACAGTGCTCAGAGTAATTCTGTACCTGGAGACATGTAAACAATAATCCTTGATGCATTAGCAAATGATGTATCTTGCACCACACACAAGGTAATTGCCCCAGTCCCTCACAGACCAGAATGAACTACGGGTCCTTGTATCTGTAATTTGTTTTTTTCTCCACTGATCTGAGACCTATCAAAAGAAATGGAGGAAATTTGACATGCAAAATACTTCTCAGAAAATTTACATTAGTTCTCTTACTCTCCTTCCAACCTGGTCTAGGAGGACTGTGTGCTCTGTTTCAAGGGAATGCTGTTTCTTGTCCTCAGAAAATGGAGGAAGCATTAGCTCTAATCATCTCAGTCTCAAGTGCACAACTGAAATGTTCTGTAATAGTGACACAAAATATTTAATCTAAAATAATTGTGTTTTAAGGAAAAGAATCTGAATATAATTCCATTTTAATTACCTCTCTGGAGAATCATCCTGTTTTTTAAATCCAGGAGGAAGAGCTGGCCCAAAAAAGCCATCATCATCATCATCGTCTTCATGAATTCTTTTTGGCTTTCTGCAAATACAGATTTCACTTAATTATTACCTTGACATGCATAGCAATTATCTGCATTTTAAAAAGGAAAAAAACCACATAAAATTATTTCATAGGGTCTTCTGTACTAAAAATCCTGCTGTTACCAAGGAAACAGTGCAAAAGGATGCAAAATGATTTGAAGCAATTAAAAAATGGGGACTAGAAGATTTACTTAAAAAACATTCTGACATTTAAAAAAAGAAAAGAAAAATTTAAAAAACCCACTAAGAATGCTTTTGCTGTAGAAAGAAGTTTAGTATAATATTGAAATACCATTTTCTAGTCACAAAGTAATCTAAAATTCAGTACACTTCTTTCTCCATTTTTATACACTGTCTGCATTTTGAGTAGTAATTTTCCTGCTCAATTCTAATTAGGTGAAAAACTATTGGCTAAGAAAACAAGAAAAAAAATGAATAATAATTACTCTAGCACTCACTAAGATGGCATAATGGCCTTCAAGTCTCTTATACAAGGCTTAGAGCAAACACACACAAATTCTTATTACAGCAATTGTGAGTAATCAACCCAAGAAATGAGGGTATCTGCAGACTCCTGTTACTTGCTAAACAATTCAGTTTTTTTTTCATTAGCGTTGACTTTATGAATGCATAAATTCACGTCCATGAACAGGTCCTACGGCCTCTCAAAGACAGCTAGTACACCAAAACCAGGGCAAAATTCAAGTACTGAATACTTATGTACATGGTAAGTGGTGTGTGTCTTTAGCATAAACATGGAAATTTGCAGAACTAAATTAAAACATATAAATGCAGAGATCTGATTTGCCCAAATAACTTAATTCCACCATAGAGTGTCAAACAGGTCAGCTGAACATTCTTGGCCATGAAGAACATGGAGAACACATAATCAAAAGTTTTTTACACGAGTACAGAGTTTACCTTTTTTATACAACATTGTCCCTTTCTCATAAGTTAGACAGACACATTACATTTGCAATTAAATTTGTAAATACAAAAATAAACCAAAAATATACTCACTTGGCTGCTGGATCTCCTTCTGTCTCCTCTTCAGAATCTCTGTTTGTGTCTCTGGGTAGAGGAAGAGATTCTGAGTCGTCATCACTCTCTGGAGTTTCTGAGCTACAACTGCTTTTATAGTCTGGAGGCAGTGCTGGTCCTGCAACTGAACATCCAGAGTTATTTGGGATCATAAAATCACAGAATGGTTTGGGTTAGAAGGGATCTTAAAGATTACCTAGTTCCAATCTCTCTGCCATGGGCAGAGAACCTTCTACTAGACCAGGTTTAATAAGGATCCCTACTAAACCTTTCAAATGAGTATGATCTATCGTGGCATTTCCAAAACACATATTTACTTGGAATTAAGTTTACTCAATCACTGCTCTCCCTAGCATTTAGAGAAGATATCTAAACAAACTTATAGAAGTTACTTCCTTCAGCACCCTATTTCCATTTCCAACAACCTGCCTTGAACTGTTCTGACTTAGGACATTACTAATTCTTTACTACACGAGCATCCTCTGGAACAGGACTAGAAAGCCCTGTTTTATATAATAACTAATGTAAAATGGATGTGGCATAAACTAGTATATTTAAAAGAAACACTTTAATAAAGCATCTGAAGCTTACTAGTGAAGAAACACATCATCTGTACATATCCAGAGTGGGAGAACATAAATTATTAAATGTGAGCATTTGTGACCATAAAGTATTAAATTAATTGCCAGCCTGATTTAGGAATGGTTTAATGATTAAGGTTATTCCCAGTTCAGCTAAATGTGAACAACAGGGACAGATTTAAGTACTCTGCTGAAAAGGGTATGATTTAGGCATTCAGAGAATGAATTCAAAGAATTGTTGCTGTCAGAAGGCCAGGGCAGCGGATGGAGCTCTCATGCTCCAGTAAAACCCTCATCCTCTGGGGTAATATCTCAGCAAAAGTAAAATTCAGACACTAACACTGCTATCAGGCCTGAACTGCTTCTGGCACTGTGTCCACCAGCAGACACTGATCTTTAGAGATTTATTTGGATACAGTACCATGTGCAATGGGTCCAGAAGCAGCTCAGCCATTGATCCTATCATCAAACGCCCTCCAAACAAGACCCGTAACACAGATACCCTCACAGGCTGATCAACAAGGAGTCAGCTAGAGCAAGAAAAAAAACAGCAATGTCCCAAGGTAAGAGGCTTTCCCAAACCAGGGCAAGGCACCCATTTACACACACTACAAACAGCTCACATTCCCATGTAATGGATATTTGATTCTACTGATGATTTAGCAGCCTGACACACAGACTCATTCCTCCTCTTAATATCTCAAGCACTGAGTACAAGACTTGCAGAACAGCGAGGTGTTTTGGTGAGGAAGAGACATTGTTCCCTTTATGAACAGTCAAGGGTCAGATGAAAAGATAAATGGTACCAGGAAATTAGATCTCCTACTGAAGATCTACAACTTTTTGATAGTACAATATTATGGTTCCATTGTTAGCTGACAAAGGCTAGGCAGAAATCAAGTCCTTTGAGTGAGCTTCACAAAGCTTTTAATCATCGTTAGCACAAGACACAAGGACAGTCCACTAGTTACAAAGCATTCAGGCAGATCTGCCTTCATTGTTTCCTGTTTTAATGGAAAAGGCTTTAACTGGGACATACAAATCCATTTCGGCATTAGGAAGGAAAAAACCCAACCAACAAACCACTTCTCTCAGAAAAACACAAACACAACACCCTAGCCTGTAAAGGTAAAGTAAGTTCAAGATTAAAGGAAACAAACAGATGAATGATAAGTAGGAATAAAAACTGCTATCAAGAAGTCTCCTCTTTCACTACGAAAAGCACTACTTGAATTAAAACACTCAAAACCCAGATAAAGACAACTGCTTTCTCCAGCCACCTGGTACCCTGACATCATGCCAACAGACATTATTTGCTCTAAATGCAAAAGAAAAGGCTTGGAGTGGAAGGAACAAACTCAGATACAATTTGATGAGTCTGATACTAGAGAGGAAGAGAGAAATTAGGCGTAGTTTTGTGAGCTGCACAACTCATAAGACCAAACCTATTTAAAGGAGACTGGCTTCACTGGCATGTTCAACACCAGGACTAACACATATACTTTCATCCCAATTCCTCTCCGTTATGTTGGCAAAACTGTTTGTATAGGCTATGCAATAAGTTGGATCAGAGAACTTAAAAGGCATTAAAAAAACACTGCAAACCACAGCACTCTCCTGAAAGAACTGTTTGTTTGTGGAACTGCAGCCTAAGCAGGAAAACCAAAAATTAAACAGAGACTGACTAATGAAGGGAAAATGGCATTTAAAGCTTGAGGAAGAAAAAGTCATTGGATATGGTGAAAAGAAATTAGAGGAAAGAGACTTGGGATTAAAAATTAATATGATCATGGTACTGACTAACAATCAGCACAGGCAAAGATACAGCTAGGGATCAGATGGTTTGAGGAGCCACAAGAAAGAGCAGAAAGATAGGAATGGAAATTGCTAAACGTAAATTCTGGGAGCAAAGAAAGAAAAGGATGAGGAAGGAGGTCAAGATCTAATCAGAAATCTGTGAAATTCCCCAAAAGCCACAGAAAAGTGGAAAAATACAGACAAAAGGAGCAACGGAGGAGTCAGGAAACTAAACTTAACGAGGTGAGAAGGATAAATAAATGTAGCAATGGCAGAGCAACAGAAAAGTGACAAAGTAACAAAGCTCAGAACAATTCAGAGCAGGACAATGGGATAAAAAAGAATGAGAAGAAAATGTGGGGGATAGTGAGGAGAGAAGCAGTGAGACTGAAGTGAATGTTTCACAGCTACTAGAAGTGATCATCCTACTAATGAGTTTGATCTTGTGACTATCTGCCTGAAAATTAAGTCAATTCAATTCAGAAACCAAATTAAAAGCTACTTTTTTGTTTTGCTAGGGTTATTTCTGCGGTATTTGGGGATTCTAAGCAATCTACCACACCATCAGACACTTACTGGGAAGCTCTCAAGGACAGACAAGGCCTTTCAGCTCCAGCACAGCGGCAGATCAACCCAGACATACCAACACACCCCTATTGTAACAAATTTGGCCTCAATGTTGAAACAAACAAAACTCCCTTCTGCACCTCTGGTTATTTTTAGCTATTCCCCAGCACTTCTCTCCTGCTGGTACAAGGACAGCCAAGAGGCAGGAACAAATGGGCCAAAGAAGTATGATTCCTCCAGCAGGAGCACAGTTACTCCAGCTTCAAAGCACAGTTATGAAGTGAAGAATCAGGAAATGTGTGTGTCTCACGGGTTGGACAAGCTGAAGAAGGTAAAGGATTTACCAGGAATGGGCTTTTGGGTCTGTCCAGCTACCATTTGCTTCCATCCTGTTCCCAATTAAGGGTCACAGAAATATTATTAGCATTAATTCTCTGACACCAGAGGTAGTCCATGGGGAATGTGGTTTTTCCCACGGTAACAACACCAGTGGGTATTGTGGGAGAAAGTGTCTGGATGCTTGAATCCAGAAGGGTGGTAGGAGTGGGGCTCAAGGGGGCTGAGATATTTGCTACTGACTGTTATGCACATCAGCCTGCACAAGGGTATAAAATGCTGCTGGCAACTGAGCCAACTAGCCTCCCAAAGTTGGATTGACTCCAGAAGGAATGTACTAGCAATAAATCTAATCACAATCATATTTAATCACCCTCCTATTTCTTGTGTCTGTCTGAGAGCCTTCTCTTGTGCTTGAGAGTTTTCTCTGCCACAGGCTGCTTAAAGTCCTACTTTACTGGAGCTGGGAGACAGAAACTATGAAAGTAGACTCAAAAAACAAGTGTTCTTCAAGAAAAGCAATGAGCAGCTCAAATATCAGTGAGACTACCACAACAGGAAAAAATTGGAAAAGCTGTTCAGCTTTAAAAGGTGAAGCATCTATTAAAATAGTTAGAAAACACAGGGGAAATTGTTACAGAACAAATTCTAGGCCCATTTGACTCAAGACCCAGCAAGTGTTGCAGCACAGAAGGTGCTGGTGACAGCCCCACCATGTGATTTTTGTCACTCCAGGTGCAGGGCTCCAGATGGAGCTGTACTTCTGTACAGCAAAGTATGTTATGCCAAAGTCCTTGCTCTCCTTTTTTCCTCTGCACTGCAGTAGTCTGCCTCATGGGGTGAGCAGGGACTCTTCGCTGCTGTAAGTCAAAGTCAGGAAAAGTTTGTGAAAATTACAAAAAACAAACAACCTGCCAGTAGCTAGAGTTTGGGGTTATTGTTTGTTTGTTTTCAAAGGCAAATAAATTCTTTCACCCACTTCACACAGAAACCTCCAAGCAGATCTTGGATCAGTTGCCAGTGCAACTGTAATAGCATGGAACTGATTTACACTGGGACAAAGAGGGGACAAACTCAGCTGAGTAACTTAGACTAGACACTGCCAAAACACCTGATATCACAAACGCACAGACTAGGGATAAGTTTAACTTGTTTTGTTCATACACGATACAGATACTTGCAGCATGCATCAGTGTGTTGATGGAAAGTGAATAAATAAGTCACTAACACAGATATGGCCAGAAAAGGCAGCACCGGCTCGTGTAGTCAGGGCTTCCTCACAAAGCCGAGATCTGGACCCAGAGCTTGATGTTACCATGGTGTCAGCTAATGCAGCAGCTTTGTATCTCTTGCTATTGCTCCCTCTTCTGGATTAAAAAATTAGAGAGCAGACAAGCACAAACCTTTCCCATCAGAGCTGTTTTCTTTGGAGTAACTGAACTGTCAGTGCCACACTGCTAGAAACTGAATATATGCACTAGTGCCTTGAACCTGGATTAAAGGCAAGGAGTGCAAACGCTCAAAGTGCTGCTTCCAGAGATATTACTGACAGAGAACATGCAAGAATTTTAGTGGGGGAACTGAGCTCCACTGCAAGAGAGCTAGCCTGGCAGTCACCTGGTCTCGGGGGGATCCCACTTCTGATGTGACAGCTCTCAACATGAGAGACCCTGGCAGGCGAGGCATCACAGCCCCACTGACCGGCAGGCTGCTCCACATTCTGAGCTACACTGCCTGGAAAACCACAGCCGATGAAGTGGTTTGGCTTGGCCAAGGAAAGCACGCTGCACAGGCCCAGCCTCTCCTTTTTTACCCACTAATCTCACACTTGGAGCTGCTGAAGAGCACGGGCATCAAAGCGCACACGACACTTGAGCGAAACAAAAATAAGTGACTCAAAGCAGTATTTTTCTAAAAAGAATTTTAGAGTTATGAAACTGCAGCATTCCATCGCATGTAGCGTTTTGTTTTATTTTCCGGGAAAAGTCACTGTAATAACCCTCTCGGGAAGTTTAGCTGCAGCCAGGTGCCGCACTGGCGGTGCACACCCCGCGCTGTGACACACCGGGCTGCGGAGCCCCACTCTCCCATCCACGGAGACAGACCTTCCATCCCGCGCTGTGGAACACGGGCCGCAGATCCCCGCTATCCCACCCTGTGCTCTCACCCTGGCTGAAGTCCTCGCCCGGCTCGGCCTCGGCGCGGCGCGGGAAGCCGGGCGGCAGCGCGGGGCCGATGAGCTGGCGGGCCATGGCGAGGCGGGCTCCGGGGGCAGCCCGGCCGCTCTCCCCGTCCCGCTCCGCTTCCCTGCTCCCGCCCCTGCGGCGCTCCCGGATGACGCCGCGCCCGCCGGGAAGGAAGGAGGGAGGGTTCCCCTTCCTCAGACCGGACGTGACGCCTTCAGCGGCCGCCGCCGGAGGGCCCCACGTGGTGGTGCGAGCGCAGCGCGGAGCGGGGTCCGTACCCGAGCGGCCTCTCCGGGCCCGACATGAACCCCTTCGCCTGGTACCCGCCGCCTCCGCCAGGGCTGCCCCCACCGGGCATCCCGCCGCCCTTCTTTTGCCCGCCGCCCTCCTGGGACGCGAGCTTCTGGGCTGCCCCCGTGCCCTTCCCCCCGCCCGGCCGCTACCCTCCGCCCGACAGCACCTACGCGTCCGCCGAGTCCTACTCGCAGCCCAAGAACTACTCCCAGCCCGCCGAGTCTTACTCGCAACCCGCCGAGAGCTACCCGCCCGCTGAGAGCTACTCGGATCCCGCCCAGAGCATCCCTCCCGCCGAGAGCTACTCCCAGCCTGCCGAGAGCTATCCCCAGCCTGCCCAGAACTACTCGCAGCCCGAGGGCTACCCCCAGCCCGCCGAGGGCTACCCGCCGGCTCAGAGCTACCCGCAGCCCGAGAGCTTCCTTCCCCCTCAGAGCTACACGCCGCCGGCCGCCTGGTTCCCGCCGGCCTACGGAGCGCGCCCGCAGGGCCCGCACGCTGGTGAGGGCCAGGGGCGGGGGAGAAGCCTCTCTTGGGCCCATGGGCTCCTTCCCGTGCCACGCAGGCACGGGCCCCGGGGCTGTCCCGAACCCTTGGGGTTGCAGGACTCTCCTCCAAGCATGTTGGTCACGCAGCCCGCTCTTTTCTCTGCCCTAGATCCTTCTCTGTTGCCTACCGAGGTGGGAAGGGGGAGGTGTTTTACCAGCTGTATCTGTGAATGGCTCATCTTTTTTTTTTTTTTCCTCTGTTCTGAAGGTGGAAATGGTAATTTCTCCCAGAAATGGCAGGGCAAGCAAGCGCCTGCGTTTAGTAAACATTGCCCAGAAGAAAATAACAAGCCAAAGGTATGGAGTGGGGTCCCCAGTGCAAGAGAGATGTGTACGTGTTGGAGTGGGTCCAGGGAAAGGCCACGAAAATTATCGGGGCGGGAGAGCACCTCTCCTGGGAGGGCTGAGAGAGCTGGGGTTGTTCAGCCTGGAGAAGGCTTCAGGTAGACCCGTGCAGCATCCTTTCAACACTTCGAGGGAACTTAGGAGAAAGATGGGGACAGACTTTATAGTATGGCCTGTAGTGATAGAACAAGGAGTGATGGTTTTAGATTGAAGCAGAGTAGATTTATATTGTACATAAGGAAGACTTTTTTTACTATGAAGGGGATGAGATACTGGCACAGATAGCCCAGAGAAGCTGTGACTGGCCCATCCCTGGAAGTGTTGAAGGCCAGATTGAATGGGGCTTTGAGCAGCCTGATCTAGTCATAGATTGTCCCTACCTGTGGTGGGGGGGGTTGGAACCAGATGATCTTGGAAGGTCCCTTCCCACCCAAACCATTCTGTGATGGTGTTCAGTGTTACATGACTTGGCCCAAGGCACTATCCAATTCTCCTGTCTAACATGCTTGCTCTTAGAAGAGAGCAAACATGTGACAGTCCATAACTCTTGAAAGATACATGTCAACCAAATCCTTACACAGGTTTTTGTCACTTCACATCTCAGTTGAGTGATGCTCAACTACCTAAATTGCATTAGTGCTCTGTCACATGGTCAAGGTCAGCCAGCCAGATGACACTGATGTTTGTAGGGGGAGAAGGAAGGGTCTGTGCTGCCCTCTGAGCTTGTACATGTCACAGGAGCCATGGTCTGTCTTGGGAGGGAAGAGACATAGGGCTTTAGCCTAAATCTCACAGCTCTCGGGAAGTGCGTGCCAGCAGACGGGTGTATTTGCAGAAGCAATAATTGTTTGAAAGGTGGTAGTGTGAAGAGCTGAGTGCAGGGCACTTTGTTTAGAAGATGAGTAAATTGAACTTAACTTCCGTATTATGTTAGCTTATCTCTGAAGCTTTTGAAACACATAATTGCTTTACTAACAAAAATACTAATAGTGTTTCATGACTAACTAAATACAGGAATATCTTGTAACTGCAATCATGAGATTATTTCTTCTTTTTTTTTTCTTTTTTTCAGACCAAAAAGAAAAAAGAGCCTGTTTTCTCTCATTACTGTGATACCTGTGACCGTGGCTATAAAAACCAGGAGAAGTATGATGAACACATTTCACAGCATAAACAGGTTAATGAGTTTGGCTTCTTTTATTCACACTTGAATTTTTTCCTTTTTGCCTGACAAGCACTTAGTTATAGTCACTCTTTGAACAGAGGACATAGCAAAGAGATTCCAGAGCTATGTCAAATATTAGTGAGGGATTTTTTTCCTGAATGCCATATGTAGGGGAGGCTTTAGTTGTATTTTTGGTTTTATTACTGAAGCCTGTTAAACTGTTTTTCTTGCAAGGTATTGCTAAGTCATAGGAATTATTCATTGACATCACTATAGCACGTACTATTTTTGTGTGGAAACATTTAAAAAATTTCCTTTATTGAAAATTATCAAAATTTGCAAGTATCAAAATTTGAAATTGAAGAGTCTTGCAAATTTTTATCTTAGGTAAAATTCACTTTCTCTTTGGGTATCAGATATAGTGCCTACACTGGTTGGTCTAAAACCAGATGAAATTTAAAAGTACATTATCCCTGCTTGCTGTTTGTACAATCACCTTTGGTAGCAAACTGGGTAGCTTATGCAGTCTGAGCAACAAACTGTACAGGCAACTGGCACTGAGTTTATTTGAAGTGTGCTCAGAAGCTTGTATAATTGTGTAAATTGGTATGTTTTAAATTTACCCTCTTCTCTTGCAGTGCTCAGAAGAAGGTTGCAATTTCAGTGCCCATGAGAAGATCGTTCAGATACACTGGAAGAATGTAGGTAACCCCCTGGGCCCAAAATAAGAGTCTGTGATGTCTTTACAATAGCCCCTTTTCTCATTCTTCAGTGGTTTCCTTTCATTCACCTGGAAAGAAAATGTATCAAGACAATATTGTGGATGAAAATACGTTAAATACTATGGAGTTTTCTTAATGGATTCATTTTATCATCTCTGTGTGCTGTCTCACCAGTTTTGGAGATGAAAAGAGTGTGATACCACAATACCTGACATAATGATGTTGTCTTTTTTTAACTAGTGGGTTTTTTCCTTCCTCTTTTAAACACCTGTGAAATACTTTTTCCTTAGGCACATGCACCTGGTGCTAAAAGAATAAAATTAGATAGTCCAGAAGAGATTGCTAGATGGAGAGAAGAAAGAAAAAGGTAAGACTTGTGGCCTATGGATATGTTTTACTGTATTTTTCCTGTTGGGAGCGTTAGATGGCATTAGCTGAAGGTCAGGAGCAGCACTTGACTTGTTTCTGCTCTTCCATTGATGCTGCAAAACTCCTGCAGCAGTAATTTCTGTCAGGTCACTGAGCCAGGAGAATGTGAGCTGCAGAGACTATAATAATTTAGAAGATTGTAATAGCAGGCAAGGTATCAGCTGAGAAAGGGAACAGCTTTCCCAGGTGCTTGATGTGGTACCCCAGGTTAGGTGAACATCTCATTCTTTTTAGCCTGATCACATTTTAGGTCAGAGGTGTTTGTGTGGTGGTTTTTAATAGCTTAAAAAATCTGGAACTATTTTACTGACTATAATTGTAATACTATGTGCAGATTTCCCTAGTTTAAGTTGTCCCAGTAGACCACACCAGGGAGTTTTCTTAATTTCTTAAGAGCTTTCTGTGTTGCTTTTCCGTGATGCTCTTCTAGTGAAAGAGAACAGAAACCATGAATGATACGTTCTCAGGCAGTCTAACTTACATTGTATGCAGGGTGCAAGGTAAAATTCTCCAATAAGAAGTATTTTTCACTGTTTCTTATCCTGTAATGTAACAGGGTGTAAGTTTTTTATGTTGACGGGGTTGAAGTATTTATCTCCCAAATTTATTTTTTTCCTTCAGAATTCAATGGATTAAAATTTAGACTTTCCTAGCAGGAGAAAGATGCTGCAGGCTTTCCTCACATCTATTCATAATTTAGAATATAGTCTTGCAAGTGATTAAATCATGAGTTTTGTTTCCATGAGCAAGAAGAAGTCCTATATGCAGAATGGGGAATGATATAAATTTAATTTTGAGATCAGTGATGATACGTTAGGGCAGTCACATGGGGTTTTTTTTTGTGAAAATAAACCCAGTGGTCTGATGGAATCTTACTGATGTATCCACCTTGCATCCATGTCAAAAGGCAATGTTTGTGTTCTTGCTTTGGACTTCACTTCCTTTAATATGTTTTTGCACTGTTTTTGTTGAAAAAGAAAAATGGATGGAATTCATTGTAGAATTTTTTAATTGCCTCCCATCCATTTTTTCCTGTATGGAGAAGGAAAATTTCTCCCCATATAATTTCATTCTTGGAGGTTTTAATTTTTATTTTGACATGGTTTCAGCTTTTTCTGCAAATTTCAGAAAGGCAAAGGGAAGTCTTACCACTATGTCAGCACATCACAGCAGTCAACTGTTGCACCTGCTGTTCATTTTTTACAAATTAAAATAATCCATAGGTTCTTAAAAAAAAAAAGCTTTTTTGATACAGAAACAAGAGATGATTTTCTCCCATTTTTTAAATACCATCGTTAACTAGACAAAAATTGGTTGTGATCTGTGCAAATGTAAGTTTGTTGTTAGATTAGGCAAGTTTTGGTGCTAGGTTAGTTTTCCTTCCAAGGTTTCCTTTTATTCAAGAGGTGCTTGAGGGCTTGGTTTTTATTTGTTTTCAGTCTACATATTGCTGTTGTGTTTTTTTGGTGACTTGATTTTCTAAAATTAGGTAGCTCCAAGGAAGATGACCCATACTCGTATGCAGTCTCTGAGAGGCTTTGCTATTCATTTTCAACTTTTCATATATTTCTCTGTTTTGGGAAGTGTTCAGGAGAGTTCCTGTCTAGCAGCTGATGCTGAGGTTTAAGGGTTGAAGTGATGTTTAAGGTGTATATGTCAGGATGTGCTCTACTAGAATATTAGGGTAGTGGGAATTGAATGTAGTATTATGGATAAGATATTGTTTGTGTGGGGAGTGGGTGCTGCAAATCACAGCAGACTTTAACTACACTTAGTTGTAAGGGTGATGATCTGCCTGAGATGGTTTTGCTGAGCTTTTGAAGGATCTCATGTTGGTTTTACAGATGAATATAATTTGGTTGTGATACAGCATTGCTGAAAGCTCGCTGCAGCACAGTAAAATCAAAGGAAATAAAGTCTCATGGTCACGGCCACCAAGCAGAAAAGGCAAAATGGGATTAGGACTGTCTGAGCCAAGGCCACTAGATGGAGTAGTGCCTCATCTTGGTGCTTCAGGCCTTCTGTGGGCATCCTATTTAGCCGTGATGGACGGGTGTAGAATGACTACCTGGGTGGCTTTTGTTACTCTTTGTACAGCAAGGAAGCTCTATGAGCATCCTTCTTTTTTTAATTACAAAAAAAAAAGTAGAGGGGGTGGGAAGCAGGCAGGGAGAGAAAGCCAGCTGGAACTTTTGTGCAGCATTAATTGGGTCACCAGCAAAGCATCAGTTTAGTACTGAAGTTCTGTTGTTGACTCACAGTACACATTGCATTGTACAGAAAAAAGGGACACCAGAGGGAGTCTGAGCTATTAAGCAGTTTTGGTTTATGGTGACAGGAAAAAACCTTTTTCTTTCTAGAAGCTCCAGTCAAAGCTGAGAATGAATCTTTTTAGGTCATTAATAGTTTGTTTCTAATTAGGTTGCAGTGATTTAATATGTGTGTTTCCATGCTGCATCCTGTCTTGCTTGTTCCTTCAGCCGTTATAAATAATTACTTGCAGAGTTGAGATTTTTCTTCTTAATTAGCTGCTGTGTTGCTCAATTGTGTATCCTGCTTAAAATCTTCAAGAAAGAGCTTGTGTTTAAAGTACAGCCTCACTCTCAGAGAGGAAAGAGGAGGAGGAGAGCTGATAAAGAGTATCTCTGGATGAAGCATGCTGGGTCGGAATGCTGTTTTCCTGTTGAACCTGCTGAGCCAAGAAATCTAATTAAGCAAAGAGCAATAGAGATGAAGTTCCGTGGGATCTCAGGGTTTCCCTGTGTTTTGCAGACAGATGGTTGTGAAGTCTGACATCAACTTTCCTTGTTTTGATTTGTCCTGTCCCTTCCAAGTGTTGAGAAATGTGCTGTCTTCAGCATATTTTTTCTTTAACATGATCTTAAAGAGAATTATCTGCAATGCATTTCCTTAATGTGTCAGAATGAGGTATTGCTGTCTTCCCTACTCCACAAGTGAGATCTGGGTCCTGCCAGCCCATCTGTTTCTTACCAACATTTCTTGAGCAATGGTTATTAGTAAGAATGTGGCAGGGCCACTCTAGTGTTAAAGTGAATCGTTAAACTTACTTTTGCTTAGCTCCTAATATAACACTGGGGAATTTTCTTGAGCTTGTGTGTTACTTGTAAATTCTCCCCTTTCTGCCCTGCTTTCTTTAATCTCTTGGCATTGGTTTGTTCAGATAGGAATTGTCTGTTGTATTTCCTTGCAATGTATCTCACAGACTGAGCATGTGCTTAGTGCTTGAAGTCTAGTACTGTTAACCACATCACTTTTAATTAATTGGTGGTTTTTTAGTTGCATAATGATAATCCTAGAGTAGTTTGGAATCCTCCCTGGTGTTGCGTTCATAGTAGTGAAGTGTGTAATATGGAAGATAATTTTTTATAACTTGGTGAAAGTAGAGAAGACCAAGCAAAGTAGAAGGGATGTGTCAGTAGATCAAGGTAAACATAGATACAATGAAGTTTACTCTGATCTGCTGGGATAGATTAGCAATAAAACTGCCTCATCTAACATATGGTTAAATCAGATGTGGGAAAGTTAAGCCAATATTTTAGCAGCTCTCTTGGGTCATTTTTGTTCCCTTTGGGCCGTCCATGTCTCCTTTGCTGTTGGCTGTGCATATGCAATTAAGACCAGCTCAAGAAATTATTGAGGCATTTTGCTCACAGTGCTGTTCCTATAAAAATTATGAACTTGTATAGCTCTTGACTCAGGAATTCATTGTGTAAACTGCTATAGAAACAGGTCTTTTTTCTGTTAGATGTTGGCAAAGCTCTGTTTCTTCACTGCTCACTAAGAGCTGCTTTACTTCAATATTTATGAGAGCAAGATAAAGTATACTGGCCTATAAAAAAAATGCATGGCTCTGGCTTGTGTGCTCATTTATTGGAAAAAAATCTATTTGGTAAGACACACGTGTTGTTGATTAAGCTCAGTGTCACAGCTCCCTGTCTCTTGAGGCTTTACGGTGTCCTTTACCTGCATGTCTCACTTTGTTGGGATATATTTAATATACTCCTCTTAGCCTGAAAAGCTATTTCCTGGTATTAGCAATTTATTTTGAAAAACTTTGGGTTGTAGAAGTGTGTACAGTTGGGAACTGCAGCTGCTATGAAAGAGGGCTGCCTTCTCAGGCTGTACTGGCTTTATGAAATCTGCTGTGCCAGACCATCACATCCTGGTTTAACTCCCTTTTACAATAAATTGCTTAGGTTTGTAAAGCCCTGTGAGGACTGATGAAGCTGTTTGTATTCAAGCTCTGTCAAGTTGTTTGCAAGGCCTAAGTGCTGGGGTACTTCTACTTCCAGTTGTGTTTGTAGGTAACATTTTAGGAACATCATTTTCTTAGGAGAGGAGGAGGGCTTGGCAGGGTGCAAACCCAAGTCAGCTCTTGAGATTTAAGCATATGGGCTTTTATGTGGAGAGACTCAGTCAGTAAAGGCATGAGGTAAAGGCAATGAGTAAAATGCCATTTAACATTTGAGAAGAGGTGGAGAAAATAAACACAGCCACTACAGATGCCTTCAGATGTGCTTCTGCAGGCATACTGGGACTTGTGACTTGAGCTCTCGCCAGCTGTCAGTTACTGCCTGTGTCAGCTGGAACGCTGGTTTAGGAGAAATCTGTCAGTCTTGGCAGTAAATGGAACTGGAAGCGTTGGTGCAGTCCATTACGGTGGCTCGTGGAGGGAGTGGTAACTCACAGGAATGAAAGTGGGAGGCATTCATGTCTCAAATCGTATTGTGAGAGCATGTCTGAATATGTCTTTAATCAGCATAAGTGCTGGAGCATTTGAAGACTCCTTTGCTCTAGTATTTAGGGTCTTCCTTTATATTTAAAACACACCCCACACCCCCCGCAATCTCTACAATAAGCTTGGGGATTTTTTGAGCATAACTACTTGTTTGATAGCTTGCTATCCTCCTGGGAGCCTTTGTGTTTGAAGGAAAGCACCTTCTCCTAAAACTGTGGAGCGCAGGGGTCTTTGTCAGTGCGAAGCTTTTGTGATTAAAGAGTTCACTGCACATTTGCTGTGTGCTGGGAGTGTTGTAACATGGATGAACGAATCTAACTAACAGGGAAGAGTGGAGGTAAAACATCACATCCCTGTGCTCTCTGGAGCTGTATGGCAGATTTCTGGGAGAAATCCAAAGAAAATAGATGTTGACAGCTCATGTTCAAATCCTCTTAAAGGAGACAAGTTCTGTAGTGTGTTTAGGTTTGTCTTGTAGAAAATGCTTCTCTTTTTCCCTTGGTATATGGTTGAAGCTGTCTTGAATCAATGTGACACTTGGCATTCATGCTGTAATAAGGGGGAAATGCATATGATAAGATTAAATATTTAAAGAAAGATACATGTCTTTTTTGATAGCTATTTTTAGTGAGAAGCTGTTCTACGTTTCTCTTTACTCCGTTTTGATAGACATCAAATATTTATAATTTGTGTTTTTATGCAGAAGCTGGGGAAGCGTGTGCACGTGTTTCTCATTTACCACCTTTATCTCAAAGCACTGGCATTTAGCTAACTAATGTTTGCAGAGCAAGTAGTGTAGCTGTTTTTGGGCTTTGATGGTAAAAAGCCTGCTGCCCAGGCTCTGCATGTTAGAACCAGCGAGGCATTTGTCTGGAGGGAAGGATGGATGTTAAGGGAGCTGGGGAATGGAAGAGACAGGGTGGTTTGGGAGATGGTTGTAACAGTAGATTTCTTTTCATTTGCATGATTTGGCAATTTTTCTTGAACCTAGAATTAAAATGGGGCAGTAATTCTGGTGAACTTGAGGTCAGTGTGCAGGCACAATGCTGAATATTGCTTGAGAAGGAACTTGTATGCTTTTCCCTGTCACATTAAAAGAATCTTGTGCACCCAGAAGCTGTTCACATGACTTTTTTTTTAAAGTTTACAAGAGCTCAGCAGTTAGCTTGCTAAAGGCATGTCATTCAAATAATCCAGCTGAAGCTCCATAGGAATAAAATAGGAGGACTAAATCATACTGTTATATGTTGGAGCAAGGAGAGGGTCCATGACTATAACCAAACTGTTTGTCTGTACGTTGCTTGATGGTTTGGTAAATCTAAGAATGCTAATGTGATAGATTTTTTTGTATGTTTGTTTGTTTGTTGTTTTGTTGGGTTTTTTGGTTGTTTTTGGGTTTTTGTTTTGTTTTGTTTTTGGGGGTTTTTTTTGTTTGTTCTTGTTCGTTGTGTCTGGATATGTAAGCATAAATGCACTCAGGTTTCTTTTTCTCACTAATGCCTTTTTAAGAAAGAAACAGTGTTAAACTTCCTTGAAATTTTAAAAAAATCTGTAATGTTTATAGAGGAAGCTGGCTTAATAAAAGGATAATTGAGAAACTACAGTGAATCCTTTAAGAGCCAGTGAAACTGTTTTTTTCTTCTAGAAATTTTCCTACGTTGGCAAACATTGAAAAGAAGAAGGAAATCCAGACGCAGAAGGAGGAAAGGGGAGAAGTGCTGACTACCCAGCAGTTTGGGTAAGTGTTTTGAACCAAACTTGTTGCTTTCCTCCCACTGAGTTCAAAAGTATGCTGTTTTACTGTTGTCTCCCAGCACTTACTGTTCCTACTGTATACAGAATCTGGCTGTCCTTTAAGGGAAGACAGGCCATTTGACAAACTGCTGATGTAATATTCTTTTGTTTACTTCATATTGCTCCAAAGTCCATTTCAGTTAAATGAAACAGTAACTACATTAAAAATATGGTATTCTGACTTGTTTGAGAAACCCACTTTCTGGTGACCATTCGTTAGATCAGCATAACCTTGGTCTCTGAAAAAGTAGTAACAGGGACAGAAGTCATGCAACATAATGATTCCACATGGATTAAGCCTTTATTGCCTGAAAATGGCCAACAGAGATTTTATTCTTACTCTCTCTCCTTTCTGATGATGAATCAATAGTCCAGTGAAGACGGGGAAAAAAATAAAGGTGATGGAGGGTAGGAGAAAGATTTAACTTTATTTTTATATAGTTTTCATTATAACTTAAGTAGTGCTGCTTCTATCTGCTACCATTGCACTGAGCTAGTACTTACACATCTTGGATTTTTATCTCTTCTCTGCCTTATAAATTATTTTCCAGCATGGTTTTGTTCTTCTCTCTCAGTTTCATTGTTAGGTGGAACCTGCTAACTTCATTGGCTCTGCTTTAGGACCTGTGGGAAGATTGTTTTTTTTAAAAATGTTATAATGAGCCACACTCCTAAAATACCACTTGTTTAAACTAGAATGACTGAGCTGGAAGACAGGAGCAGACTCAGTCCTAAGGGACTCTTGTTAAATGCCATTTTCTGCTACATGGAAGTGAAGCTGGGGTTTGCCTAGCTTTTTGTATAGGGGATGACAGCAAACAAAACAAAACTTGCACTGTGGTAAAATGGTTGAGCTAGTGCAGAATAAGAAATTAGTGTAATTTATTAAATGTGGACAGTGCAAATTACCTAGTTGCAGCATGTGCTTCAGAAGACCCAGGACTTACCTGCCCCCATCCAACCAGTTGCCTTTCATGACTGAAATGAAAAGTTTATAGAAGACTGAAGTAAAGGTTCCTTCAAAGGATATAAAGTTGCAGGAGTGCTTTGTTCCCCAGGAACCAAACCTGGGCATTGAAACTAAAGCTGCAAACATATATGATATTATGTTTGGAGATTGTTAGGAGCAAAGGTGGATTTTTTTTGTCACATTAATAAACTGTTTGATGTCTACAGGTTTTATTTGCTAACTTTTGTGGCCACGAGTCAGATGCATCAAGTAATTTTAAATGTCCATCAGCAATTCCATGCTGTTACATTTGTTAGTAGCTTTATATCTGGAAAACTGTCTGGAAAAAGAAAGCCCTCAAAATTGCAGGTTGTTTACTTCTGCATAGCAACTTTTTATTCTCGTTGATTCTACAAATCTCTTCTTTTTCTCCTCTCCCTCCCCTGAGCTAGTAGCACTCTAGAAGTGAGTGAAGTGTCCATAAGCTGTCATTTCTGCTTTGTATATCAGCAGTAAGGATTCTGGAATTGGTGCTTATCTGGCAAATTTACTGATGTGTGAGGAAAAAATAGGATACAGCTTGTTCCTTGCAAGCTGTACTATTAAAGCAAATAGCTCAGTGAGATTTAGAAAGGATTAGATGCTTAACACTTCCACAGTGCTTTCCATTTGTGGTTCTCTGAAATGCTTTGCAAGTTGTAAGTCTCAGTATCCCTGCGTGTGAGATCAGAGATGCAGAAGGACCACTTTGGAAGCTTGTCTGGTGTCTCAGGATATCTAAGTAATAGTGCACAGCTCTCCATGACCTCTAAATGGAGAGTGAAGAGCAGGATGTCATCCACGAGGGAATGGCGGAAGGCAGATGCCAGGCTGATGTTTGCAGGGACATGTTTTTGACCTTGAGGTTGCTTTCGGGGTGTTTGAGGACCCAGAGAATTTAGAAAGTTGTTTTTAACCTTTTTAACCAGTTTCCACTTGTTGGAGTTGAATCATAGGAGATAGTATTAGCCTTCTTTTGTGGGTTAGGGACTGATGTACAGGAAGGCAGTGGTTTGCCACTTGTGCCACAAGAGCAGTGTGGTGGGTGATGCCATCAGGGATGAGCAATCAGTATTAGACACTGTAGTGAAATGACTGAAGAATGAAATTAAATAGGTTTTGTTGTGATATAAAGTCATTTTGAGTGCTATGACAGGCCTTGTTCTCTTCTCAAGAAGGACTTGGTAAGGCCAGAAAAACATGGAAGAGAGGAATGCTAGTAATGGGAGCATTTCTGAAAAAGCGAAGTAGTAGGTGGCTTGAAAAGGCTGTATGATTGAGGCCTAGAAAAATGGCATAGGTAGAAGAGGTGAATAAAATGAATATACACTGTTTCTTGTAACTCAAGAAGGATGGGGTACTAAATGGTTTGTTTAGACCTCAGAATGAAGACAAACAAAAAAGAAGTCCTTTATCAAAAATATTAACTCCTTGCTGCAAGATTTGAAGGATGCCACACATGAGCACAGCATCCCACATGATGAGGCATGTGGTTGCCTAGGGATAATAGGACCTCAGCTATGCTGTAGGTGAGGCTGAGGCAGGGAGGACTGATCAGAACCCACAATGGGGCTCATTCAGGACAGGAGATCTTGTGTAGTTTTTGCTCTTGTAATGCAGTGATGGTTAGTTACAGTCTTGTTTTGCTGAATTCAGTTTATGTTGCTTGGAAATAAATATTTTCAGGAAGCTTTGGTTGTCCCTTTTGTATTTGCTTTTCTCTCTTGCTCGCATTTATTCTTGTATCTATAGAATTCGACTAGATTTTGTTAAGCTTTCCAGGTATCTTCCTATTAACATGTGTTTATAGGATAACCTGGAAGATAATGGAACCATGAAAGATAAGTGGAACCAGCATACTGTGCTCTTCCTGTATTTCAGGACTTGCTGTTTTGTTTCAGGTTTTAAAAAATTTACTATCCTGATGGACATTACTTTTATTCCTTTTCCTTGGAATGAAAAAGATGAATAGCATGTTAGTTGGAAAAAGGAGTGGGTAGTCACTGCAGCTGATGGTGTCAGATGGCTGAATGGATTTGGTGCAAGATATTTCTCAGAGCTGTAACTAGAAAAAAGAGACTTCAGCAGTGAAAGAATGTTTACAGTAGATGCTTTCCTTTTAACTTCATGTTGCTACTGTTTTGAATGACTTTAATGCTTAAGTGAAGAGGGTATTTGTTGACTTTGTTATTTGAAATGAAAATGTCCGCACGCTGTATCAGGGAACTTTCGTAGCCCATCTGCCCTTGACCTTGTTGAAAACTGAAAACTAAAAGTAATGAACTTCAAACTGTTCATTCAGTTTCCAGCTTTGTCCCATTGCCCTGCCTGAGATGAGGTGTGACTGATTTTATGGCCTGTCACCTCGTGTTAGCTGAGCTGGTGTAAGTCCTGGCATCGTTCTGTGTTGCTGAACCTTAAACAAGGGCCTGAGCCATTTGGTTACATCAGTTGTTTTTATTCTCATAGCTTATCATCTGTATGAGCTTTCTGTTTCTATTCTCCAGCAAAATGAAGGGGATGTGGAAACCTCCAGAAAATGGAGAGGCTCTTGGGCATCAACGAAGACACAGAAAAAGACAATGGCGCCCATTCTGGAAGAAATTTAGGAAAAATGGCAGCAATTTTCATGAACCTATAACTCAAAATGAAACCAATGGACCAGAAAACAGCACATGTGAAAAGGAGCATGATAAGCAAAATGCTTTGGGAGACCAAGCATATGAGAAAGACGTGGACCCTCTTGGTCTTCTGGCAAATGGTGATGTTGGTAAGATGAATGAACTTGGAGAAGTATTATTTTAAATAGTTGTTTTAAGTTTAGATGCTGAGACTTTGTGCTTCCTAGTCACCCTTTTGAAAGTCTGCATTACGTCTGTGTGCAGAGTTACATGTTCTGATGAGTACAGTAGTCTAAAGGCCATGCAGCGCCAACTTAGGTTGCTAAATTAACATGTGAGATAAAATATTTAAAAAACCGGAAGAACAATGAAGTACTTTAACAGCCACATTATTTTCAAAGACTGTTAAATATCCCTTTGTGGTTTTGAAAACAACAGTATTTAGAAAGTGAAAACAAATGGATTTCCTTGTATGAGTTAAGTGAATTAGTTAAAATGTCAGTATTTTACTTTTAATTCGGTTCTTTGCTATATTATTACTCTTGATATTCTCCATATGTGTGTGTTCTCTGAAGTATTGCTGCTTAAGTTTTTTTGGGTTTGGTTTTTTGTTTTTTTTTTTTTTTTTTTGTGAGCATGTCTTGTTTCCTCATGCTGGCAGCAATATAAATTCTTTAGATCTAACTATTTATAATATATTCAGCAGTGATGCAGTACTCCTAGAATATGGCATGTAAGCTGACTTATACTCTAGCTATTTTTAGCAGCAAGGGTAGAATGCATTCCCTGGAAAGATGTCTGATGCTGAGTTTTTCCTCTCGAAAACATAATCTTCAATTAGTGAGAACAAGAACTCAGCATCCCTATGCAATTTGTTTATTCCATTAATCTTTGTATGTTGGGAAACTTAAGTATTATCTGTATTTCCCTGCAGCATCTGTATTTTACTTAATGATAAAAGGTTAATTATGCCAAAGTGCAGCTAGTGACTTCTGTTACAGTAGGTAGAAAAGGAATGTGGTACTTGCTTATTACACATTATTAAAGCTAGTTGCAATTTTTTAAACAATTGAGAAATATAGCCAGAACAAATAATAATTAACACAATACAACTAGGTAGAATTTAAAAATTACAGCCCAAATCCATGATTTTACTGTATAGGCACATCTTTTTGATTCTCCTTTTTTTTAAATTCCCCCTGATTGGCTTCTAAAGCCTTCTCTTCCATATCAGAACTAAATCCAGCAAGACTTCAAAACATATTATGAAATCCTCTCTCTCTCTTTACCTACACTTGATAACAAAACCTATAATTATACTTGGTATGCAAAGAAGGAAGCAGAAGGCTCAGGCTTGTGTTCAGGACACTTTTTGTTTCAGTAGCTTTGCTGGCAGGATTATGAAGCAATGAAGGCACCAGTTTGCCACCAGTGATCTGTAGAGGGTACACAAGTGTGGAGGGCTTTCTGTCAGTCCACAGCACTGAGCAATGGTGCCCGACATCAGGTGTGTGTGGTGCTGAAACAGGCATTTAGCAGCAAGGCTGGCTATTGCCAGGATTGTTGGGAAAAATCCCTCTTGCCTTTTCTTTCCCTGCAGAATCTGACAAGGATGAGGCAGCTGAGGAAGACGGGAGACTGGGAATGACAGTTGTCCCCAGGCAGGTGACCTCTGCCCTTAGCGCGCTGTCGGTCAACTATGGCAGTGCATCTGACAGCGAGCCCGAAGGTGTGTAGAAACAACCTCTGCTCTGCTCCTCTCCCCTTCTACCCTGTGTCACACTGCAGTGATGGGGCTGCAAGCAGGACTGTGGCTTTTTTTGCTGTTCTTTTCTCAGCAGCATGTCCTGGGTTGAGAGAGGAGGCATAAAATGTCTTTGATTAGGTTGTGTTTCATCAAATTTCCCAAACCTTTTCTCCCCTCGTTGGGGGAAAATAAGGAACCAGTTTTCAGTCTTGATTCTAATCACGTTCAAATAGTGCCAGGAAAAAGCTGTTATTGTGAACTAATTTCCACATCCTTAAGGGCTTTTTCCATAGGAGGCTGCTGGGTGTTGCAGTGGGACTTGAACTCTCTGTTACTTGGATTTTATGTTTTTCTGAGTGTCTGCATCAGTGTGTGGTGAGGAATTGCTGCAAATATTTTCTCTGCCTTACTTGCCCTGGGTGGCCTACCCAAAGTTAGCATCTAGCAGACAGTGAATTGAACTTGGGCATCCTCTGCCCTAACTGTATGATTTTCTCAGCAGCCAAATTTGCAGCAAGCTATAATGTGAAGCAGTGTACTTCTTAAGTGATAAGAAGGCAGAGATTTGAAAATCTCAATCAGATCTTATTCCTTTTATTTTTCTTTTTGTGCTGTAGAATTGAAATACCTTGTTTTCCTTTCTGTGAATGTTTAGAGATTATTCTTTGTATTTAAAAAGAGACCCCTCCCTTCCTCCAAGTAAACCCTGAACATCTTCACACCATGTTGTTTGAGCAAGAATAGTACTAACGAACTGCCATTGCATGGGGATATGAGCATGTTGAAGAGGCTTTTAAGTTTGAGATGAAAGTGTGTTCTTTTTCTTTAAGAATTCCCTGTCAAGACTGCAACAAAAGCTGAGAAAAACCAGGCTGTGCTCAGAAATACGCCTCAAACTACTCCTGCTCCTCAGAGTCAGAAACCAAATCCAAACCGCCCAGAATGTGCAGGCACGACGTTAAGGAGCTCGAATTCAAATGCACATCCCCCCAGAAGGCCTGATAAGCGGGGCAGGAAAACATTACCTCGCCTTCCCAAGCGCCGTCCAACTCTGCTGGAAATGGTAAGAGGCTAAAATAATGCCTCCTGTGCAAGAGTAGAACTGTTTGTGTGTGTTTCTCCTCTTCCCTGAGCGAAGTTAGAGCAGTCTGTTAGCACAGGACCTGGCTTAAGAATAGTAAAGTGAGCGTTTCACTTGGAGAAGGTGAAGATGCTTTAATAGACAAATGGAAATACCCTGGCATGCATTCAGGTAATGACTGACTTTCATAAGCAAGAGATGACAACTGAATCATGTGTCTGAAATGAGCTGCACAAGGAACAAACCCTTTGTTCCTCTGTCTTCCCGGTGGCAGTATGCAGTAGGTTTTGTTTGTGTGTAATCCCAGCAGCCATGATCTGATCTTTTTGCTCCCAGCTTTGCTATTCAGCCACCTTCCTCTGCTGGAGGACCACACAGTTCTTTTTACACATGCAAATAGATCTTGTTGAGAAGTGGGTTGGTGACTTAAACTACAGAGTGGTGTTGAGCTGCAACCTGCTTGCAGAAAAGTTTCTTCTGTAGGCATATTTAGATCAGTCTGAGGAAGGGACAGCACCTTGAAGAGCAGCAGGTTGGTGTCTCAGAAAGGTAGAAGGAGGTTTGTAAGGGTGAGTCCAAGGTTTTCCCAGTAGCAGTGCAAAGCAGCCCATTTGGCTTCCTTTAGAAAGCTCCGACAAAACCTGGGAGCTTTTATTAGATTTGTTACTCAAAAGCAGTATTACCCTTGTGATTCTATAAATAGCATAAAGCTTCTCCATCAAGGGAAAACTTGCAGTGTGCAAAACACAGGAGAAAGCAGGGTGCCACTGACATCAGAGCTTTGAAATAGCACAGGATGTTTCAGCAAGAGATACCTGATAAGGTACATCTCAAACTGCAGATGTGGGAGAAATCCCTCAGCAGTCTTTTTAGCACATACTACCATTTCTGCCAAGAATTTAAGTTTCTAGTGACTGAAAAGGGAGTGTTTGTCCTTTGTGTAGCTCCCTAAGCATGCTCTTTATCACTTGCTCTTCAAAGTTGTTGGTGATCAAAGCAGTGACGACTCTGGAAGAAAGTCAGATGAAGTCCCACATGCTGAGAGAAGCTGGCAGTACATAGGAAACCTGGGTTGAAGCTTGCCAGTATAGTCCATTTTAAAATTGCATTTCAGTGAGTTGTTTTCACCTTTTCAAATTGCTCAGAGTTGTTTTTAAAGAATGTGTGCTGTGGCCGTGAATCACAGAGGAGGGCTTGAGTTTACAGGTAGATTTCCACTGTCATTAGAAATGGTCAGTGTGTGAAAACCTTGAGAGGGAGCAAGGTTGAAATTTTACAAAATGGATCCAGAAAGTGGATTAGAATGCTAAAAAAAGGTATCAATGAAATGATGCTCTTTAAAAAAAGACAGGGAGGAAGGAGAATAGCTGCAGGTATCTCTCAGCAGTCGTTCAGCAGTGAGCTCAGGTACTACTAAAACATGTTTATTGTAGACATGCAAACACTAATGTGCATTTAGTCATTCTCTATGCTGACAAAATCAAAAGCTTGTGTACTGTCACTTCACTGATACCCATCCCTGCATTAAAAAATTAAATAGATATAGTTCCTGATAGGGTGACTGCTGCAGTGCAACTGGGCTGTAATTTGGCTATTTGAGAATTCACCAGTTTCTCCCAGTCAAACAAAGAGAACATCACTGTGCTGTCTCTTGTCTGCCCTGAAGTACATCTGTTCAGATGGAAGGTTCTTGAAGGTTCATTTTAGATGTCAGCTGCTTGTAACACCTCTTAGCAACTGATCTAAGTAGAAATATTCAGACTTAAAAGTGGATGGTTAAACTACCGTTGAAACTTGTAACAAGAAAAAAAGCTTATCAGTGACATTGCAAGCCAGACTTAGCCAAATCTCCTGCAGTGTGTAATACAGCTCTCCTGCAAATGATCAGGTAGTTACAGATTTAGCCACTTGGCCCAGATTTTGTGTTTGTTCATCCTGCTAGTTCTGCTGACACTCGCAATGAAAAAGGTTCATTCAGCTCTCTGGCTGATACCTTTCTTTTTCCTACTACCAAAATGAACTTCAGTGAGATTAAAGTGGATGAGGAAGGCCTCTAGCACTTTGATTAAGCTACTAGAATTAGGTTGGTGTATGTATTATAGCCCAAACCAGTTAGGGCTGTTTATACCCATGGTGTGGTACCTGATGAAAGATGTCCTTTCCTTGTGTTTATCTTTTACTCATAAGGGGTTTAAATTAAAAATGCATGAGATATTAAATTGCAGATACAGTATAACTCAGAAAGTGTGAAAAATTATAATGGACCTGCTACCCTGAGGTACTGGAATGCATGGCCTGGTATTACAGTCCATGATATGAGAACATCATTGTCTCTGGTATGGCAGTCTCCAGCCCCATGTGTCCAGGACCTGTGTGACAGAGCCAACTGTTTAACTCGAAAGATGCTGGAAATTACTGAGTAGATCAGTATATCTTGCTATGCTAGTATCAGCTACAGAGCAATAGAGGGAAATGTGCATCATCTTCTCTTTTTTTTAATTTCCAGTTACTGGCCCAGGACATCCGACACGAAAGGAATGTGATCTTGCAGTGTGTTCGATACCTCATCAGAAATAACATGTTTGGACTTCATCTTAAAACAGAACCACAGGCTGAAGCAGAAACTGAACAGTCCTCTACCCCTACAGCAGAGCCTTCTATGGACAAACCCGATGAATCTAATTGTTCTTGTAGCTCTGACCTTCAGTTAGAAGGAGGACAAGAAGATGCATTATTAATAGCCCAGGGTGAGAAAGAACCTGTGGATCAGACTTCACAGATGGCTCAGTTGGCAGATGAGGACACATGGGAAACCCCATCAATTCAGTGTGAAGGAGCACCATAGAGGATGTCTGTTATGGACAGTAAAGCAAAGGCTCACATTTTCTACCCAACTGATGCTTTTTGAAAGACATCAGTGTAACAAAAAAATCATTAAAGTGCATACTGAGAGCTGTTAAAACCACTTTGCTGATCTGTTCTGCCCTAGGTGGCCATTTCCTTGGAAAACATGTTGAGTAATTCCATTTACACGTGGCACAAAGGCAGCAGTGGAACAGAGTATGACCTTACCTGCAGTAGGTGCAGATCCCTGCTCTAGAGCTTCAGAGCTCTGAGCGTCTTACCTTCTTGTGAAACATGTGGGAGTCCATCCCCAGAGTCAAGTAGGATAGATCTTCCTTATGTGGAGTCATGGTCCAGTGTGCGTGTGGAGTATCTTGAGCGTCCAGAAGTATTTAAACCTAGTTTCAAAATGGCAATTCAGAGCACACATTTTTTTACTTCAGCTGTTATAAGGTATATCCAATATAAATATAGTATGTCCACTGTAAAATATGGAAGATATAACTGACCTGGTTCAAAAAGTACTGCTTGTACCAGGAGCCTCTTCCACCCTGAATTAAGTTGTTAACTGAGCAGAGAAATGGAAACGAGGGTGCAAGTTTTATTTATTTAACAAATAAATAAATAAATATACAATAACTGCTTGCATCAGTGCTGGGTTGCTTATTGACCTCAGGTACCCAATTTTGAGCTTTAACTGCTGTTACAGTTATTGCCTGACAAATTAACTCCTGATCCAAACCCTCAGTATCATTATCAAAGTTTAGAAAGCCTACCAAGAGTTACTAGTTACCTTTTGCATATACTTTGGGAATTTATTAGTTGGCCTTCTGGAAGAATGCCTTGGTATCCTACAGCACCTAGCAGTTGTTTTTTTTTCATAGGTTTATGTGTACATCCATAGTTTTGTGAGCACTAAAAAAGAAGCATCTGCCAAGGTTTAGAAACAAATCTAGTCTTTCGGTTATATTGTGCATTTGTTTGCCAGAATGCTTCTTGTCAAGGGCAGGTGTTAGTTTGTCACATTGACACTGAAAACATGCCACAAAAATAATCTATTCTCAAAACCTCCGCTTCAGGATCTGCTCTTTGTCTTGTAGTCATGGTTAAATGTTGCAGTTAACTCTCAGGGACTGACTTTATTTTCTTTTTCTTTGGTAGAAAGTCTGGCCTTCCATTCCACCATCTGAAGTAGGGAGACTCACATGGGGGTTTTTTTCTTGCCTAATAGCTGTATTTTCTTTTCTTTAGTTCCTCAGCTTTTGCCACACATCTCATTTGTGGAGTATAGGAAGCAAGAAGTAGTTGAATATTCTGTCCTGCTGCTCTGCTATTTATAACTACAACTGCATATTGTGTTTGTAATGCACTGTCTAAATTTATGGAATTATATAAATACGAACACCCTTGTAAAAGTTGTGTGTCTCAAGGATATATGTGCAGAATAGAAGCAGCGATCATAAACATTTATACTTCCAAGGCAGATGATTCATTCTTCCCATGATGATCTCACGAGCCATCTCAATCTCACTGACTTGCCTCTGGCTCTTACAGTTTTACTGCAATGAAAATACCGATGAAGAGCACTCAGCCAAGGAGATCTGGCACTCCTGCAGAACCTGGTTTCAGAGTGGAGTGGTACCAGTGCTGTTGAAAGCATAAGTAACAGCTGCAGGAAAAGAAATGGATGTCTTAAATTTGTTATTAAATTGCACTTTAAACAACCCTGTGTCCTGTCAAGGTGATGGTAGAGCTTTCTTTGACTACTCTTTGACCTTGTGTTTAAAAAGACAGAACCTTTACCATTAATTCTTTATACTGTTGTCATTATGACTTAAGAATATTAAACTTTCACACAAAACCAAAAACTTTGTCAGAAAAAAAATTATTTTTAAAAGTCTGTTTTATATAGATAGAAAGAAGTAGGTTTCTTTATAGGGAGAGCTGTACATGACATAAACCAGAAGTTTTAACCTAGGATTTGTTGCATACATGCAGAACTGCTATTTTGCTCATAACAAGCCATTTCTGCTAACTCATATAGCAGCCATTTGGAGCCAGACACTGCAGTGATGTCAAACCCTGAATAGCAGTCTTGGTCAATGGTAGGAGGTCTCTGTCCCTCTCGCCTACTTTTCTTATTCTTCCAGACCAAGTTCAGACTTCACATACCCCTTTCTGCTCATCAAGGATGTGCTTTCTTAGTACTTTGGATTCAGCCTTTGTATAGGAAAGGTGCCATAATGACCTCTGGTACTGTCAAATGTGCCTGCAGGCTTTTCTGGTTCCTGCAGTTTATCTGCTCTGGGTTAGCAGAGGTGGGTTTGTTCACTGGAATAAAATACCTCTCTGTGTCTGTAAGAAGAGCCTGTTGTTTCTGGCATGCTGCTGGAGCCTGTGCCTTTAGTAAGCTTTGTGTAGCTTTTTTTTCTCATTGTCTTGATTTGGGGTGGTAATTTTTTTAAATTTTCTTTTTTTTGCAGTGTTATTAAGAAAAAAGAATCCTACTGCTCAGTCTTTGTGACTCATTTTAGATAAAAATATTCCAGCGACAACCTTCACACTTCTGAAATTTTATTTTTTATCTTTCTTCTTTTATAACTTAGCTGCTGAAAATGTAGTTGTAGGCGTCTAGTTTAAATTCAGTTCCCTTGGGCTTTGCTGGTTTTTTGTTTGTTTTAAACTCATCTCACCTACTGAGCTAGAAGAGTTGAGAGAGGGAAGAAAAAAATCAAGACTACTTATTTGTGGAGGTGCAGCTTAGGCAATTCAGGTTTGTCTGTGAACAAAATCATTTGTGCTACAGCGCAGCTGCTCCTGGGAGGTAAGGGAAACAAGTAGTATGCATTTCTAATCTGTGTGACCCCTTGGTCAGTGAGGGCTTTTGCAACTGATTTTACACGTGGATGTTGCAGTCCTTGCACGGAAAGCACAGGAGAGGGGGTGGTTTGATTAGCCCTGCACCAAAGGGAGATGCTGTCCCTGCTGCCAACACTCTGGTCCTCTGTGTCACAACTGGGTGTCCCTCGTGTTTCCCCTTGTTCCTGTGACTGCTAATCCAAGTCATGTGGTGCAGTCATTATTCAGAATGACAGTCCTGCAGTCCTAGCAGATCTTACATGTTTGAAAAATGTTGAGGAATAAATACAGGCTCTTTGGGCTGGTTGTTCTGCCAAAGGCAGAAGTCTGTGCTGGAATGCTGCATTCCCCAAGCTGTCTGTCCAGCATACTGCATCGTTCTGACTATCTGTGAAAGCACAAGACAATTGGAGAAAGTTTATGAGGGCAACTGGACAACTGAAAAGAAAACAGTGTCAGTTCAGGAGGATCTCGGGCCCTACAGGCTCATCAGCTTCAGCTCGATCTCACAGAATGTGAACAGACGAGCCTAGCAACTATGTCCAGACGTAGTAAAAGACAGTAATAGAACCACAGAATGGTTTGGGTTGGAAGGGGCCTTAAAGATTATCTGGTTCCAACCCCCTGCCATGGGCAGGGACACCTTCTACTAGACCAGGTTTCTCAAAGCACCATCCAAACTGGCCTTGAGCATTTCCAAGGATGAAGCATCCACAGCTCTTCTGTGTAAATGATTCTATTTCACACCACCCTCACAGTAAAGAATTTCTAATATCTAATATACAAGAATATATACACGCATTTGGGTTTAGTTAGTAGTGTTTTATGGAGGAGGAATGCTTTCTCAATTGGCTAGTCTTTTAAAGAGAAATTGCTTGCTTGATTGGCTGAGGAAAGGGCAGTGGATATTGCTCATTGTAGATTTGGCAAGGCTTTAGATGCTGTGTTCTATAAAATCTTTATTGGTGAAGGATGGGCTGGGTAGGTGGGTGATGAGGTAGATTGAGCACTTGCTGAAGTGCCAGGCTCAAAGGGTTGTGATCAGTCAGCAGCAGATTGAAAGAAGTGATCCTTTCTCTCTGTTCAGCACTGGTGATGTCCATCTGGAGTGCAAGGTCCAGTGCTGGGCTGCCCAGTGTAGGAGAGACATGGGCACACTGCAAATCCAGTGCAGGGCCACAAAGGTGATGGAGCATCTTCCTTATGGGGAGAAGCTGAGAGTGACTGGAGAAAAGAAGGTTCAGGGGGCTTTTATCCATGTGGATAGACACCTGATGGGGGAAGCAAAGGTGTAGCCAGGATTTCCTCAGTAGTGCCTATGGACAAGACTTGAGAAAAGCACCCCTAATGGAAATGCAGGTAATTTCTTTCAAATATCAGAACAAACATTTTTGCTGTGAGAGAGGTGAAACATTGACACAGATTTCCCAGAGATGTTGTGGCATGTCCATCCTTGGGCATTCAAAACCTGACAGAATACAGCCCTGAGCAGGCTGCTGTGAATGAGAGCTGGGAGGGATGATCTCCAGAGGTGCTCACCTGCCTCAGCTGCACCGGCATTCTGCAGGCTGAAGTGGAGGTGCTGCTCAGATTTGCCTGTTGGTGCAAAACACTTGCTGTGGAGGCACTGTCCCTAATGAAATGACAGAGCAGACAGACCCCACGGGCTGCCCTGCCTGCACAAGGCTGATGTACTGTGTCTAGTATTGAAGAGAAGGTCCAAACTCAGCGCTCACGACAGCAGACACGACTCCATGGCCTACATTTGTCCCTAGTGTTTGCCCTTGCACAACCTTGAACTTCAGCTCTGCGCATCAATTTCCAGAGAGGAAGGCTAAATCCAACACTTTAACTCTCCTTGCAGTGCAATTTGAGATGGATGAATGAAAAATGCTGTGTAAGTGTTGGGTTTTGCTGTTACTTGGTGAGGTGAAAGAGAGTCGTGTTGGTCTGGGTATTCACTGGCACAGTCTGGGAGTGCTCAATACCTGAAAGAAACTCCCACTCTCCCTACTTTTCATTACTCTTCTGGCTTATGTTGTGTGACTCTCCTCCTAAATTGTCCTCTGATTTCTAAATATACTCTTCAGGGGGTGGCTCTTGTTTGGCAAGACAGCTTTCTTGGCAGGGCATAATTTTTCCATCTTTTTTTGTATACATAAAGGAAGCTGTATAGACTGTGTATGAGCATGGGCTCTTGCATGAAAGCAATACCAGCTCAATAAAATAAAACTTGTGCTGAGGAGTATCTGACA